GGGGGGGTCTCGGCCAGGGCCCTGCCCCACTCGGGTGGGCAGCCAGGGCTCGGCCTGACTTTGTTTTCCTCAGGATTGGTCCGAAGGAGGAGTTTTTCCACTGTTCGAAGTGCAATTTATGCCTAAGCTTGAGTCTTCGAGGAAAGCATAAGGTGAGAACACAACTCTGTTTCTTAAAAGAATCGCTGGAAAACGAAAAGTGACAGTGCCTCGGCTCTGCGCAGGGCCATACGGACCGGGAGCGGCAGGGTCTCGTTCTTTCAGCGCACCTAACAGCACCACGGAGTGCTTCCGGGCCGGCTTCGCCAGCAGCTGGAGCTGTAGGAAATACACCTCTCTGTTTCCTTTTCTCCCTTTAAAAGGAGCTGTCGGTCGCGGATGCGAGGGCGTGTGAGTCTGAGCTCCTGTTCCTGCCGCAGAGCTGGGCTGCTGGCTGCCGAGGCCGCTCTGGGGGCACTTGTGTATACTTTCAAGCTGTTTGTTTTTAAAATTCCTGTTAATTCTCAGATTTTCAAACCTAAATGTGAACAGTAACATTTCCTACACCTTTTTTTTACCATTCTGAAGGAATTTTAGACAAATGCAGATAACCACACAGTAGGGTAACTTCTTTTTTTGTTTGTTTTTGTCAAGTGTATTGAAAATGTCTCCAGGCAGGACTGTTCAATATGTTTGGAGGTGAGCTGCTTCTCTTCATTCCTTCGATTTGTGTGCGCCTCTCTTTGTTTTTTGACTGTGTGTGAATTAACTTCCACGTCTTTTGTCTGGTACTTACCTTGAAACAGGATATTCACACATCACGTGTGGGAGCTCACGTTCTGCCGTGTGGTCACCTTCTTCACAGGTAAAGCATTGCACTCGAGAGAAGGGAACAGCTGCTGCCTTGCCTGTGGCATTTATTCAGCATCACCACAGGCCGGTTTAGTCTGCATCTGCTATCTACAGCTGGTTTCTAAGGGACCCACACAGTAGGGGATAGTCTCTGTTTCATCAGAAATAGTCTTTAAAAAGGTGGCTTTCCTTCCACGGGAAATTTTGGCAGTGGCAGAGCAACCTGTGTACGGTTCATTTCTAAATTTCCTTCTGTTACTGCTTAAATGTCACAAACCCTGTGGAGAAGTCCCTCCTTGGTGCAGGCAGCAGTTGCACAGTAGCTTTGAAGAGGTCTGCGGCAGCTCTTCAGTTAAGTTTTAGATTCTTTCCTTAAGACAGCACCCCAGGGAAATGGAGTGCTGTGCTGCAAAAATTGCTGCCTGTTGGGATTTTAAAGCGATGTGATACGTAGCGCTGGGTGCCTTTGGAGGAATAAGGATGTTTCCCTTCTGTTCTCCGTTCCTGCTTCTGTTACAGACACAACCTTTTGTTGAGACAAAAAGAGAACTCTCTTGGTTCTCTTGTTTCTCCCCCTGTTGTCTCCATGCACTAAGTGAATGGAGACTGAATCTTCCTTCAGTGCCTGTCCATTTTAAACTACCTTGTGAGGCATCATGCTCCTTTTTTTCAGCAACCTTGAACCACACAATCCTTGTCACGGCGTTGACTCTGTTCCCTCTGTTAGATTAGAAAACCTTAGAATGGAATCAGATATGCTTTGTCTCTGGATTTTTGCCTGAGTACCCGGTGATTTCACTGGGAAGCATCTTCCCACTTGGGCTCAGTATATTTTTTAACTTTTGTTAAAAGCTGTGTGCCTTTTCCTTTTGTGCAGTCCAGATGTGCTACCAGTCAGTAACTGCCACCTTCTTGCTGAACTTGCCGTTGTGTTTTCTTTTCAGAACGTGTTACGAGGGCATGCTAAGGGAGTAAGTATTGCTAAACATCTCTTAATATTGTTGTAGCCCAAACAGATTGCTTCAAGAGGCCAAGGTCACGATGCCAGTCCTGTACCAAATAACTTAAAGCCAACTCCTAAAGGGATAAGGGGGGTTTCAATTTCCAATTCTGTTTGCAAGAACCTCTTGATTCGTGGTGTTTCTCTCTGACTGGTATGATCAGAAACTTGTCCTTTTGGGTGGGCTTTTGTTTCGTGGCCCCACTCCATCTTCTGATTTAGACTCTTCTCTCCCCTTTCTGCCAGAGGTTACAGGTGTCCCCTGTGCATGCACTCGGCTTTGGATATGACCCGGTACTGGCGTCAGCTGGATGACAAAGTAGCGCAGACTCCTATGCCCACAGAGTATCAGAACATGATGGTGAAGGTAAGAGATGAGGCTGGCCCCGGTGTCTCTTCTTGGCAGATCTGTGCCTTTGTGGTACCAGCAGTAGAGGGCACGAGGGACTCGTCCCGGATCAGAAGTCAACCTGACGGTTAGGGAGTGATGGAGAAACCTTGTGCAGAGGCTTACAGTATTCATCTGCTGGGTTTATTGACGCAAAAAAAGCAACCCCCACATGCGCTCCAAAAAAACCAACCCCAACCTCAAAACCCACCACCTTTCAGTGTTGTAGTATCACCCAGCAGAGAAGAGGCTTGGTCTTGGGAAGGATCTCGCTTTCTCCAGTAGCTTTAGGTGCTGTCGTAGTCAAAAGCGGGAACATTTGTTTAACAGCTTGGAGCTTTGTGTTCCAGACAAAATGTGGTGGGTTTTTTGCAAACATACTCAGCTATTGGCTGGGCCAAGGCTGGCATGTAGAGATGACTTCTGTTCCTTTGTGTCAACCCGGAAGTGTGGCACTGGTCGCTGTTGGCAGGTGACGCTGAAGTCAACAGGGCTGGTCGCTAAGGTTTCAGTTGGCATCTGTTACGCTTTAGACAACCCATCCTACCAACTCTTGGAGTCAGGGTATTTGGGAAAAATGCCTTCGCTGAGTGTTTTGAGAAGAACGCTCGCTCACATGTCTTGCACGGCAGGCTGGCTAATGTCGGTGGCTGCTGTTAATCTGCTGTCCTTTCTCTTGGGGCTTTCTCTGGTGGTTTCCTGCATCCAGAGAAGGCAGCAGAGCATGTGTGTCCCTGACTGGGGCAGAAAGTCACCTTGCCATGCTAAAAGTTAATTCTCTGTGATAGTGCAGTGTGATCTGAGTAGTTACAAATGGAAAAGTTAAGTCGGCCCGACTGTCTTTAAAAGGAAGACATTGTCTGCTTTGTCCCCTGATGGCAAACCAGTTCTGTGGTTGCTAGAAGCGTGGCTGTAGTATGTTGTTGAGTGTTCTGCTGATGCTAAAGCCTCTCTCTCTCTTTTCTCTCTGTGTAGATCCTTTGCAATGACTGCAGTGCACGGTCTACGGTGCAGTTCCATCTCCTAGGCATGAAGTGCACAAACTGTGGATCGTACAATACTGCCCAAGACGGAAGATGCCAGCTGTCTTTGGAGGAGCAGTGACCAACATGCATGTTCCATTTGGCTGGACAAGGAAGAGACCATCCATTTAAAAAAAACAAAAAACAAAACAAAAAACCCCACCAACCCACATGTCAGTAAAAAAATATTCAGAGTTGTCACAGCACCAGTGAAATGGTTACAAGGTGTAGTTAATGTTGGTGCAAAGTAGTTTTGCTAATTGCCCCCGTTCCTTCCACCTAGGGCACAGTGCAGTCAGACCCTCCAGGAAATTCCCCACCAAGCAGTGCGATGCCTGACGAAGGTTAGTTTCCAGAGAGAAAGGCACCCTTGAAAAGATCATGGCAACGGGGCGTGCAGAGTATTTTTTCAAACTGGGAGGAAGTGGCAGCTCTGTGTGTGCAGGGGAATTTGGGTGCCTGATGCCAGCAGGGCTCATCCCACGGCCGCCCCTGCAGCGGGTCTTGCTCGGAGGCTGCTGCTGCTCAGACTGCTCCAGCCCTGTGCTGACTGCCAGCAGCTGGGCACAGTGGGCTTAGCTGCCCAGAAACGGGATTTAAAAAGTTGAGGTGGTGCCACTTAGATGTTTTCAAGGGGCTGCACTTGAGTGTTCCTGCTCGAGAAGTGACTTCCCTCTGCCTTTAAAAGGGGACGGAGGGTTACACGAACTGTAAATGGGATAAAAACATGTCAAATGACGTCTTTGAGATGAATCTGAGGAATGTTGTTTTTCTGTATTATTAAAGCAGTTACAGTCCTTCTTCCAAAGGGGAGGGGTGGAGGGGGGGAGGTCTCTCAGTCAGCACTTGAGCAGCCCGCTGATGGCAAATGCCGGGTTAGACGCCATTTCCATAGGCAGTGGCTGGAAAAGCAGCAATGGCACGGGGATGTGCTGAGGGCATACAGCATAGCTGTGGAAAGGAACAAACAATAAATTCCTTCTTCTATGAAAAATGCCAGTAGTGAATGGATTGTCAGAAGGGGGCTGGGGAGCTGTGTGTAGCCCTCACGGGTGCCAACATCGGGGCAGGCTGTCTGCAGGTGCGTGTGGCACTGTCCAGCTGGATGATGAGTGCTCTGGGTTGGTGGCAGAGGTGCCGCCACCTTCTCTGTAGCCAGGTGATGACACGCTCCTTTGGGTTCCTCGCAGGCAAGTCTTGTGCGACACGGGGATGTCCTCGGTGCTCTCTCTGTGAGCGGGGCTCGGGCCTGGCTTCGTCGGCACCTGGTAGCTGTTCCCTTCAGAAGGTGGGGAGGTCTTGAGAACATTTACCTTGACATCCAACCTGGACAGGCTGGAGAGGT